ACAGTTCCGACTACCTCGCCACTCACCCGACCCTCGCCCTAGACCCCAACATCACAGGCGTCTTCCAAGGGCCCTACCCTTTCGGGATCGACCCAGTGAGTGGGGGCTCTGGGGGGATGGGATGGGACGGGACCCTCAGCAGGGTGGCCCAGCATCTCACCCACTTGCTCTGCTTTGCCCTGGGCAGATCTGGAGCTTGGCCACCAACCACCTCAACTTCCTCAACTCCTTCAAGATGAAGATGTCCGTGGTGCTGGGCATCGTGCACATGGGCTTTGGTGTCCTCCTGGGGGTCTTCAACCACGTGTGAGTCTCCCCTCGCTGCGTCCGCAGGCTCTGGCCGTCCATGCCCACCTCTGAGTCCTGCTAAGGGGCCAGAGCCTGGCTCGCTCCCCGCAGGGGCGACAGCGGCCGTGGCACCGGGCTGGGGCAGGCGAGAGGAGTCCTGTGCCCTACATCAGTTCAGGGTGCAAGCTATGTGCAGACCCTCTGAGACTCCCCTCTGGGGGGCACCTGGTCCACGTGGGGCCGGGGGCTGCGCCATGCCAGGCTGAGCCCTGCTCGTGCCCCTCTCTGCCCAGGCACTTCCAGCAGCGACACCGGCTGGTGCTGGAATTCCTGCCCGAGATGATCTTCCTGCTGGCCCTTTTTGGCTACCTCGTCTTCCTCATCTTTTACAAGTGGATCAAGTTCAGTGCCGTCAACTCCCTGGTGGCCCCCAGCATCCTCATCCACTTCATCGACATGTTCCTCTTCACCTCCAACGCCGAAAACCTCCCGCTCTACGAGGGGCAGGTAGCGTCTCCCACCATGGGGCAGCCGTGGGGCTCCCCGGGCCCAGCTCTCCTCCCTAGCTTGATCCTCTGGCTGGTGTCAACGTGCTGCCTTGTCCCCTCTGCCCTGTATAGTCCTGTCCCCATCCAGGAGCCCAGCCAGGGCAGGGATGCTGGGCGTGCTGGCAGCAGCGAGGAGCCCTGGGGGGACCTGGAGCAGCGGGGATGGGGGTCCTGCGCTCGGGACGGGGTGCACGAACCTTGGGCACAGCTCTGGGGAGAGGAGCTTCTCCGCAGCCCACCCCTCCGCCTGGGGCTCTCCGCGAGCGCGGCCCCGCTGGGCAGCCAGCCTGCGTCACGAGCAGCGCGTCTCCCGCCGTCCTTGGCTCAGC